GATCTCTTTTTGGAAACATGGAAGTGATGTGACCGATACTCATTTAGCTTGCGTGTTAGTCAATGAGCTATTTTTATTTCCACATTCGTTCTTTTTTTTCCTCGGAATCTTGGAATAAAATTGTGATAATTTCTTTTGGTAATTTTCTTATCCTAAGTTTTCGTTTTCAGATAAGGAATATAATTTTTTCACGAAGATGTGATTTTGTCATTACCAATTCGGCAGATCGCATAATTCGAGCATATGACTTAAACGATATTCTTAAAAAACAATTTGGTTTACATATAGAACCGGTCCATAAAGTTTCCGACATTGTTAACAAGGTGGCTAGTTTTTTGGTAACAACTTGGTCAGTGTGGCCAGCCTTTTTTGTTTTGATTTCATCTTTTATTATCCTAAGCGTGAGCGACTTATCTGTTTAGACTGCATGGAAAGCGATTTGTGTTTCCTGCTGTGGGGACTACGTGTGCGGGGCCAGTGCTAAGTTAAACACTCTTTTTATCTGGAAGTTATCTCCTGGCGCTCTGAAACAGTTGGAAGGAACAAAGGTTAGTCAGGGATGTATTTCTTCATTTACTTTTGGTCACCAAAGGGAATTTAAATCAGTTGAGCTATTTCAGTATCTGTATCGATTTACTGGTATATGTTATCGTGCATTATACTTTCGACGATGCTTTTACTAGTAATGCTGAAACAATTAGTTTCAGGGTGAATTGTTACTAGATGTTCAATGGCACCCTTCTCGACCGATTATTATAGCACTTTCTAATGTCTCAGTTTCTGTATGGACTCAGGTGGCTTTTCTTTTCTTTTCAAATTAATGCAGTTCTATCTTTATCAAGTGCGTAATTATTTGGTTTCATCTTGAGGGCCTTATTAACAGTCTTTTAGCTGTCATAGGACCATTTAACATTAGATCACATGGTTTTTCCAGTCGGTGTCGTATGCGTCTTTCAAACTTTGCTAACTCGCCAGTCTTAATTTTGATCTTTAGATCAAAAAACGTACATGAGAATACATGTACGCTACAGAGTTAGTCGTTGATTGTTCCTTAAACGATAGAAAGTGTTTGGTTGATGTCGAACGTGGCTGTGTCTCAGAAGTTCTAACTTTATCTAGCCGTGACCGATTTGAGTTATTTTTTTGTGAAGTGGCGTACTCAGCTAGTTTCTAAAAAATATTTGGGTTTTTTTTTGGTTCTTTGTTAAAACTTAAGAGTTAGAAAAAAAGCAAAATTGTATGTTTTAAAAAAACGACTTTTAAATTTCTTCAAAAGGCCCATTTGATAGGTTTGTTTTTTAATACACAAAAATTACGAGATAGCATTTCTATAACAGAGTTTACTAGTAGGCATTTACAGGAGGGTTTTGAGTCAATGGAGTTGTTTTACGTTGTTGTAAGATTGGGACGTTATTTCTTCTTCTGAGATATTCGGTTAAAAACATTTTAAGCATTGATTTTTCTTTTTTTTTTTTT